GAGAGAGAGAGAGAGAGAGGGAGGAAAGAGGAGAAACACAAAGACGGCAGTCCTAACTCTTTGGCAGAGGACTGCAGACCAAATGGAAGTATTGTGTATTATGTGTCAGCCTGTGCACACATTTGTACAAGATATCCTTTTTCACTTGAATAATGTGCCATAGGTCGATAGCATGGATATGTCATATATGTATGTTGCCTGCTGGGACCTACATTTGTCATTCAAATAAGAAAAACAAAAAAGTCAAGGCCCCAAAGTCATTATCCCTGATATGTCTTGCAAGTACCAATGCTTCATAAAAACTGCTGAGGTTTACAGATGCCCTAGATATTTGCCTAAACCACCATGACTAAAAACAGGTTAATCATCAGTGACTTCCCGTTTTTGTCTTTTTCACAAAATGAAGATTAAATGATGATAAAGTAAACAAGTTAAAACATTTTACTTGCCATTTCAGAACCCTCCATTTGTTTTGGACTTACTTCTAAAGTACTCTGTAAATAATTATGACCTTCATAATAAATTAAAGGTTCGAATTTAGAAGACACACTCCACATATTTTGCCTGACTTTATACATTTTTGCCCTCGTGCATCACAATCATATTGCTGCTGCGGCAGCTTTTCATTAAAAGTTGCGTAAACCAGCTGCACACAATAAACAGGTCACTCACAGATAAAGCATAAAAAAATCTAATCAATAAACTTGTCATTTAGCTATAACAGCAAAAGCCCCTGGATATACTCAACAGAGCAGGGCGTGTGACTACATACTAATTCGACTTTCAATTCTTAAAAAGGACAAATATCTGATCTTTCAATACAAAGTTTCTCTGTTACGAATCTCTATAAACAGATTCTGCATGGGAATCTGCAGAGTCTGTGGGCAGGGGACAGGTCTTCTGGTCTCACTTTCAGTTTGTGCAGTCTTTGGTGTCCAGCAGGTTTACAGTCCATGTGGAAATGAAAAGAGGCAGAAAGAACCCCTTGACCTATTCACCAGCTTTTTAATTAATTTGAATTCATAAACTAAAAATTAATAAACTATAAATTCAAAACACCTACAAAAAGGTGTTGCACTGTTTGTATTTTGAGGAGAAACATTAGACTCGTGAAAAAAGAAACCAGTCGCACTGCAGTGTACGGCGAACAGGAGACAAAATCTTTACCCTGCACCTGAAGCCTTAAAATATAAGAGGCTATCGCGTCATCGGAAAAGAGCTGACATGCTCCAAGATTCGACTTGTCTCTTTTTGATTTTTTCTCTGTATTTATGTTTAGGTTCATGGAATTACCATTAACATTTTCTGCTTTTAACATTTAATTATGAAACCCAATTTTATCATATTTTCATAGTTTGGTTTGCAGGATCACTTCACAGGGTCACACAGTGATCTCTCCCATGTTTGATCCTCCAAGTGGAGCAAGGGGAGCGACTCATGAGTCACATTTCTAAGGAACTGTGATTCAGTCAGTCAGTTATTATTAATCGTGAGAGAAACAGAATTGATGGGAATGACACCGCGCAACACGTCCCACTGCAGAACTGAACACAAAGTCAGAAAAGCCAGTAAATCTTCTAAAAAGCCCACTTTCCTCACATGCCTTGAAATAATTAAGCACAAAGTTTTGTCCCAGCCAAATCTTCCAGATCAGGGTGCTGCGATAAATCCCTCTGGAAGAACTTGATGTGGTGTAGTTTCCCTGATCTTCTAAATTTGTGTACGGCAACTAATTGCGTCTGAATGCTGAACTCGTGTAGTGTTTTACTACTCTGGTGACTCCATGCTGGCAGAATGCTTGTGTTCCTCCACTGGTGGTGGGGGGGAGAAACCTTTTTATTTGTGGTTTCTGAATCTTTATTCTAAGCTACTCATAAAGCACTGAGATGAGTGATATCATGTGGTCTCCATCAACAATGGAGCTTTTTTGTTTGACTTCATAGCCGTTTAAATCGAAAGATTAAAGGCCATGACACACAGGGAAGGTTAGAGAGTAATGAGAACTTCAGATGACAATTTTAACCAACACTGATTTCTTTACGACGCGATTCTTACAGAGGACATGGGTCTTCTTGTTGACAGAAAACCTTGCAAGTCCACCTCCAATACACATTCTGTTGTAATAAAAAGGTGAAAAAAGTGTTAGACATCAAGATCAGTTCACGTGACAAGTTAATATTCCTCACCCGCCTTTGAAAACAACTGTGTAAAGCTTATAGCGAAACTGGAATGTGCTTTGTTGATTCTGAAGAAATAACCATAATGATGCCCTTTGTCACATGCTGGTATAGACCAAAAGTGTCGCCTCCTCCATGTTGGTGGATCGGACAAGGAGTCTCAAAGACACATAATTTTTTCTCAAAGAGGGTTTCTGTCGTTTTAGGTTGTTCTTACCATGCTGATTTTTGTTCAAGTGGTTTGATTAGTTATTTGATGCTTTACAGAGAGGGTAAAACGTCATGATGGTATTCTGGATATTTTGGCTTCACTTCTGGATAGTAGAGATAGAGACATGGCGTCCATCTTTATACATGGTCTATGAGCTCAAGCCGTAAAAAATGTCTATAAATAAATACCTCTTATTTTTGATACCCTAAAGTTAGTGGAGGGGCCTTTTCAAGTCAAAGCAGTAAAATAAGCCTTGATATGTTAAAAAGGTATCTATAACTCATAAGGGTGAAGTATAATTTATTAATGTATGAAGAATTAAACACAAAGATGATTATGGTGAAACTTACAATCTGTTTTGTGCAATCCATCTCATCTTCATAAATCACCTTTTTGCATGCATCATCATGTCCTCTCTTCATCATCATCATCATTATCACCATCATCATTTTCACCAAATCTACAGTCCTCAGTTCAGACACTTTCCTCCTCCTCTTTCTCATCACCACCCTCCTCATCCTCAGCATCGCCGTGGATATAAATGTTCTTCCTCACAGAGGGCGCTGGCAAAGTGTTTCTTATCTGAGAGGATCTCTATCCTGCTCTAACGAGCCACTTGACCTCCCTCGGCGCTCTCCTACTCCCGGAGTGACGCAAAAAAAAAGTGGGCTGGCGCAGCGCTAAGTGCAGCAGTTTAGAGGACTGTCAGGGCGCACCGAACAATCACTAGTCAGGCAGACTTCATTTAGCAGCGCCTATCCTGGATCCTCCGTCCGTCTCTCTCTCTCTTTCCCTTCGGATGTAAAAACCAATGCAAAGTCCTCGTGTGGCGGAGATACCGGGATGTGTACGGATGTGTGTGTGAGAAAGACGAGACTGCACTTTCCCCCAAAACACTTCACAGCAGCCTCCTCCATTCAGTAAGCTGAGAGGTGGATGAAACTTTTCTTGAATGAGTATCCCGCCTCTGGCTGGCACATCTGGACGCACGGCACACGGAGCTGTCAAGTCCAGCGCCAACTTTAAGCCGGACCAGACCTGAGTCCCCTCCTCTTTTACTTTGTCCTCTTCTAAACTCTGAAGCGGAATATTGGACTTTAAGCTATTGCTTTTTTGTATTTTTTAAACTTTTTTTGGTTTGTTTTTAATAATTGAGAGGCACAGAATGGAACAGCCAGTCCTCAGAATAACGTGCGTCCTGGTGGTTATCTGTCTCCTGGATAAAAGGTGAGTTGGAATAAATAAGGGACGTTTGAGTCAAAGCTGATACACAATTGTATATGTTATTCCACATTTTCTCACTCTATGTTCTTCTTTTCGTTTGATTTTGATCAGCCTATAGGTATCAATAATAAACTGGAGAAATAATTTTAAGCATCATAAGAGTTTCTTTTCTGTCATGTGATTAATAGTTAAATGAGTCACACTTATTCCACATATGATATTAACTTTTACACCCAAAGAAAACAATTAAAAAGTAATTAAAAAAAATGAATCATCAGCCTGTTTTCTTTTATTATTCACTCCCAATCATCTGCTCTCTCATTCCCAAACAATGTTGCCAGTTAACAATCTATATTTGGAGACAGTTGTTGAAACAGGTCTACTCTCAAAGCAGGAAACACAACAGGTAGGGACAGAAGCCCGAACTGGAATCACACGGTTCAAAACGCTTTGCTGACAAGAAAGTAGGACACCAACCATGCAACTGAGCGTTTGATGCCACAGCAAGCTGTATCTTTGATTTTCTGTCTCATGTCCAAAGCTGGATTCTTGCAGGAGGTGATTTGTGAGTGTTTGAGTCTGTTTCTCTAATGGGGACACTTGCAGAATAGAAATTTGCAGAAGATAGACACATTGACAAAACTGGGTAGAAGTTGCTTTATGCAACTATTTCTTGCAGCTGTGTGTGCATTTTGTGTGTGTTTTACTGTACACGCCTCTTTACACCTGGGTATTTGCATATGGGTGTGCAGGGTGTGCATACAGATGTGCGTTTGCCCACAGCCGCATGCACGCTCCACGCCTGCATATGAGTCTGTGTTTCTCAGTCACACAACCACTGGGGCACGCAACCTGTGTTTTACTGTGTAATGATAATGAAAAAGAAAAGCTGTGCACCTCTCAGCTCTCAAGCCATCATCAGAGCAGCCTGTGTTTTCCTTGTTACTGCTGTTACTCTTTCTCTGTGAAGAAGAAAAGGGGCTTTGACTGCTGCCTGCTGAATTACTGTTTTTCACATGATTGATCTGCAGCAGAGGCAGGAGACAGCTGAGGAAAGACACACACACACACACCGTACAGCTGCAAAGTTCTTTAGGAGAGTTTGTGAGGCGGATAATTTGCTGTATGTAAAACTGTTACTAGAATTCAGAGTAACTTTAGATTAAAAATTCTTGTATCCAATTCCAACTGTCTAATTGTGCTTTGTAACTCTTATCATGCTCAGTTAAGCTATTATCAAAGTTATGGCCAGGAGACAAAACTGAATTACAATCAAAATCAGATTTAATTTGATTTATTGCCAAGTAAGTTTACACTTGCAAGGAATTTGCTGTTTGTGCCAAAGTATAAATATAACAATAAAAAATAGGGAATGTATGTAATATCAACACTGGAAAAAGACGTGTTTGAACGCTTGTACACTATGACTGTTGGCCATGGAATTAGCACTAAATGCAAACATTCATGATTCATCTTATATGTTTGAATCCACATTTTATTGTGCCTTTATAACTTCAGACAACCTAAAATAAAACAACTCTCCTGTAAAATCAGCCTCAGGACTTAAGAGCCATTGTTTTTTTTATCCACTGTTATTTTGGCAACAGTTTTACATGATCATAAAGTGAATCTGTCTCAAAAACAAAGAACAACAAATAGTGCATTTCCCCTTCCGTCAGCATCTGGAGATGGTTTTACAAGTGTTAACCCACACCACGTGTATTGTTGAGGTTTTACAGCAATCAACTGCACTGGGGATCATCAAGTCAGGGCGCCTGTCTGGTACTGTGGGAACTGAGTGTTGCTGTGACGCCCATGGAGCGTTAGTTACTTCTAACTAGACTCCTGTTAGCAGCAAAAGGGGACTGAACAGAGATAAAGAAAGTTGAATCTTTGTCTTGTCAATAACCAGACCTGTGTGCTCCATGCAGGGTAGACTCCAATGAAATCCTGGGCCTGAAGCTCCCCAACATTGACCCAATCCTGAATGCCAACACGGTGTGTCTGACACTCCCGGGGTTGACGCGGCGCCAGTTGGACGTGTGCATGCGCAACCCAGACGTGACAGCTTCAGCGATCCAGGGAATCCAGATCGCCATCCACGAGTGCCAGCACCAGTTCAGAGGGCACCGCTGGAACTGCTCCAGTCTGGAAACTCGGAACAAAATACCCTACGACAGCATAGTCTTTAAAAGAGGTCAGCTACATGGTCACCATACAAAACACAGCACATAATACACTCATGTGTCGTTTCAGTTCAATGCATATTTTGTTTGGTGGGCATTTTACATCCAGGTCATAAAAACCTGCGCTTACGAAAATCTGGGAAGCTAAATTTCCAAGTTCTTAAAGTTAGAAATAAATAATTACAGAAAATGTATTTGTCCAAGAGGTCATGATATGAGGTGTCTCCATAGGCTACCTGCTGAAAAAAACTATTAAGATCAAATGTTTGGTCTTCAAATAGGCTGTGGTTTTTAGTCTCAAACATACTTTAAAAGAACACCCGGAAAGGATAGGCTTTGAAAGATTAGCCTCTACAAAGATACACGTCCTAAACAAAGGATATTGATATTATACTGTAATTCTTTAAACATGGCTTTAAAAAGAGATTATTTTACCCCATACTGACAACTCTTCAATGCTGCCTCACAACAATAAGCTCCTGCAAATCGTTAGATTATCTGTAGTGACCAGCAGGCTGGTGTGTACTGTCTTACCACCCCACTGTGTCTCCTCAATAACCTGTACAAAGGAGCAGGTAACTTCAAAAGCAGTTAGTCACCTCCAGATTACCAAACCCTCCCGCAGATCGGTTTTCTCTGCGGCTTTGTAGTGCTCGGAGCTTTGCAAGTCAGCCACAAAGGATGAAAGAGGATCTTTAAAGATGGGAAGCCTTCGGATGGACTCGTCCCAGGTTATTGACTGGAAAAAGGCATCAATTTCTTAGTGGCCTGAGCACCTGTGTCGATGAACGTCGCACTGTGGAGGTTGTAGTTTGAATCTGGAGTTGAGTTGCACAATGAAGAGGCAGATGTTATTTAAAACTAAATATTTTAAGACTTCTAAAGACATTTTTTTAAACATTATTTTGAGAAATTACACTTGAGATTTGTATCACATGCAGTGCATTGCTTGAGATTATCACTCAGCTGCATTTAAATTAGCTCAGTCATTGCTTTGACAGCAAACTGTCAGTACACGTTTTCAATATTTGCTTTAAAAAGTGTACTAACAGTTTTTCAAAAAGTAAAAGTCTTGATGAAGTAGATCGTTTAATCTTATAAAATACTAACTCATTAAATTCATCAGCTTTGTCCTGGAGGGGTGTTGCCATAAATTTATCTTCTTCTTAATCTGCGTGCGGTGTAATAATGAAACTTTAGTTTTATCTCCCTCATCAAGGATTTTTTTTGTATCCTCTTACCACCACAGAGCCTTTATCAAAGAAGTAAAGAAAAAACTCTAAACAATGCAATGAGCTTACACACCTCTGGATGTACTTTCACTCCTCACTGACTCATTGAGAGGCTGTTTGTCATTATTAGCAGAGGCAGTTGCTAGTTGTCTGGCATCCCTGGTTTGCCTCGGGTGCAGAAACTCCAAACCACTGACATAAACAACCTCTTTAAATCGGATGATTCATCTGTTACATGTTGATACATTCCGCTCCACAGAAGCTGAAAAATGGATGCGAGTAAACATGCTGCAGCCATTACGGCGTGCAGCTACTGGCAGCGCTTTAATTGAGACGGATTTACAGTTGTGGATTAGGCGGAATTGTGGTGATCAGCGCAAGTTTTGGGCGCAACTGCCCATAGAGAAAATAAACAGTCCAGTCACACACAGAGTATGAATACCAAAGCTGGTGTTTCTGATTGACAAATCACATGCTATCACAAAATGTATCTGGGTTTTAAAAAGCCAGCGGTGTTGTGTCTACACCTGAATATTTCTAAGGAAACTGAGGGGGGTTTCAAGTGCTTCACGTTTCAGTGTTTGTTTTGGTGTCAAATGTTTCTACATCAGATGCTGCCTGGATCCTCTCTGGCGCTGCCATGGATCTCTCAGCTGATGGTCTGTAATAAAATTTATGGGCCTCTGTTCGTTCGCGTTTAGCTTGCATAAAAAACTAGGCTAAAGAGGACGTCAGGCGAGACATGGATAGACAGAAATAGGAGAATCTCCCTCTCCTTCTGTGTCTGTGTCTGTTTCCTCCCTCGCCGGGCTGCTCCTAATGCTTTTACTTCCCTTGCCAGTGCAAGTGCTTGTGAATTTGCTCTCAGCACTTTCCCAACTCTCGAGGCAAAAGCAGAAACCTGTTTAGTCGGTTTCTGTAACACAAAGTGACAGTTTCCTTTGAATCTTTAATTCATTTTGCCACTTCCTCTGCCATCAGTTCAGCCGGGCGTGGCACAGCCGGTGAATTATTTGTTAGATTGATTTGTTCCCAGTCTTCCGGGGGCCTGAGTCGGGGAGCCCGGCTCGGAGCGGGGCTGGAGCTAAAACAGGCTTTCTAAGTATGAGGATGTGCCTAAGTGCCATCCCTCTCTCTTCCCCCTCCTTGTATAAGTCAAGTTGGTAGGGGGGAAGAGGGGCAGAGTGGGCGTGAGTGAGTCAAATTATATATGTAGTCGGTGCAATCTCAGAGATTGTGTATGTGCATTTTTTTCTTGTATCAAACCAAACATATAATCAGATGTTGAACATTCAAGCTGCAATAATAACTCTTTTTTATATAATGACACTGTATCAAATTGTTGCTTCTATGTCAAAGAGTTAACAGATTTATCTCAGGACTTTACAGTTTACCTCAACTCTAGTATTTTAATGTAGCCTAGCTGTCTCACTGCTTTTTAAATGCAGCATGAACCTATTTTCAACAAATAAACCTCTGATTTGATGATTTGTCAGGTTTCCACAAACAGGACTCAATATAAATGTTGCTTCTGGATTTAAGGGATGTATTAGTAGAAATTGAATATAATATTTAAATTGTGCTTTTATTGGCAGATAATAAACCCAATTAATAGCTGATGTGTTTTTTGCTATCTCAGACTAAATGTCATTTAAAACTACATTAGCACGTCCTCTTCCATCTTTCTAAAGTATCACCGAATGGACAAACCAAAGAGTGGCGTTCGCCGCAGATTCTCCAACACACTTTGAAGGGAGGGGTGAGAGGAGGGGTATTGAGTTGATTGCAATCTGCAACCTCACAAGTAGATGCCACTAAAAACACTGCACCCTGGTCCTTTAAAAGTTGAAAGAATGTCAATGATCATAATTGGCTTATGACTGTTTCAGGGCAGGTTGAAACTCACAGTATAATTTTCCTTTCTGACTGAGAGTCAGCCATCTGATCTGCTTACTTCTGTTTTCATACTGCACAGATTATTAATGTTCAATTTAAGACAAGAAAGTCATTTGTAGAAAGATTCCTTCCTACTTAAAGTTTTCCTTCCTTGCTGGACAAGTCAATTTGAATGTGGAGTTGCTGTAGTTCTGCCTCAAAGTGCAGAAGTTTTGCACCACTATTGCAGCTTTCTTTTGAGAAAGTTCAAGCCGAGCATGGCAGTGATCACTAAGAAAGTGACAACATGTGTTGTAAATACTAAACTTTGGTTTCTGGCCATCATATTGTAGGACAATGGTGTTTTTCGATATGATGGGGTGATGCAAGCTTTATATTCAAAGAGACACGTACAAACTCTGGTGAATATGAGTTGCTTTGGGGAACTACAGACAGTTGGTCTGTGGGTAATTGTCTGTTGCACATAGTGATTCTGCAGCCTCAGTTTGTCCAGTGTCACAAAAGCAAAACAATTCCAATACCAATGCAAATGTGTGAAATGTTACATCATATCTCACAAAAAACAGACTAGCATCATGTTTACTTGAATATATAAATAATGAAGTGACATCAAACATTGCTAAAAAAAAAAAGGGTCAGTTCCAGTTATTGGCTTTTTATTTGACTCCAGCAGCCAGCCTGAATCATTTCCCCTTCAAGCCTCGTGCTATAAACCCGTAAGTGGTTTCTTTTCATGTCTTCTTTATAAGTTTCCAGTATAATCTTCAGTGTTTTCTACACCAGTAAGTGACGGGCCAGTGGGGCTTCTTTTATAGAACCTGAGGGTGCCTTGCTCGCAGGCAGTAAACTGATATCCAACAACAAACACTGCAGAGGCTACGAGAGCAAATGCTGGTGTTCATCCTTCGATATTCAAAATCCACAGTTCAACATTGATTTTTTTAAATCGTAGAAATTTGTGGATAGGGTGCATGTGTCAGTGTTTTTATATTCTGTGTGTCAGAGGAGAACTGCAACGTTAGTCTTCTGAATTACAGATCGGTTGTGGTGGAGTTGCTCATTACTTGTGCCGCATGTAAGTAAGACTTTCTCCAGCAAGAAAGAGATGTGTTTAGCTGTAAAGGCAACAGTCATCCCGCATCATATAGAGTTATTACACACACACAGTCATTTAACCACCTCCTGCAGTCTGAGCCAGTCTGAAGTGATTATAAGGCAAAAGCTTGAGTGCAGTGTAATTCAGTCTGTCTAAGCTAAACACATGCATGTAAAATACAGTAAAGTACGGGTCCGTTGGTCATTGCAAGATATGATATGACAAAACAGACAAAAGGATAGAACTCATTCATTTGATACCAAGTCTCTGCCAGTCATCCAGGACCCTGTAAAACAGATGAGGTGAGTTTGAGAGAGGGAGGCATACAAAGCCTGAACTGCATTCTATGTGGTTTAAGGCCTATGATGGTTAATGCAGTGCAGAGTTTCACACCTAAAGGTCTTGTATAGAAGCAGTGGCACAGACAGAAGGAGACAGGGTTGAGTTTAGTAAGAGCAATTGAACCCCTGTGATGAGGATTTATTCAGTTTCAGCTGGTGCACAGATATGATGCAGTTTTAGAACACCTCATTGGTACTGTCTCAGATGATTCACTTGGTTTTATGACATTGGGCATATGCACTGTAGATATCAGGGGTGCCGTCTGTGGACCTAGATTCACGATGAATCTGAAGCCCCTTTTCCACAGTCCCAATAACACCCACTGACATTAAGTGTTTGTAATGAATGGATACAATCGGTTTTAACTCTCAGGTCAAATGACTCTGTAGTTGACACAGGTTTTTATCGGCTCTGGCCCCAACCGGCAGTGATGGAAACCTGATACCTGGCACGCGCTAATTTCTTCATGTTGGCAGTCTAGACACTGACGCTGCAGCTTTTCCTGCGCAACATTTGAATGTGCATTGAACTTCTGGGCGTTGGCACGTAAATAGCCAATCACATTTGTGTACTTTTAGATTTTTACATTGCAGGAACATCGTGCATTTATGATTTCACGACCATGCATTATCTTCTGCCTTCTGCAGTTCACAGCAATTATTATGATACAGCATATAACATCTGACTTCTGTTGCACATTGCAGATCTGATGTCAGCACATGTATGCTTGGCTAACGTGGTGCTTGTTCCGTGAATGTAACTGTAACCCTGACCATCTCGCCAAACCCCGTTCAAAAGTCTGGCAGTTAAATAAAGCATTGTTTAATAGTCTATATATGAAAGAATGAATGAATTGACAAATAAGAACAGTCAAATCTGATTAGACTGACAAACTTTTTCGGGTACAGCCCTAGTATGTATCAACTGAAACATGCAAAGTTGCAACAGAAAAATTAACAGATTCCTTCATCTCGCACGCTTAGTTGCTGTTAAACTGAGTTTTATGGATGGGAAAGTCACTTCACATCTTAAAGTTATTCAGCACATTTTACAACTCAACTTTAATGAGGAAAATTAAATAGTTCTGTTGCTCTTCGGATTCTATTTGGGTTTAATATAGAAGAATCTACCACAGCTGAAAAACATGCAAACAGCACCACAGTCCGAGTCCTCTACAGAAATCTCCCTTCATCCTCCTTTTACCTGGTAATCCTAACATTTCACCTGACAGGTACATGACACACACACACTGGTATGTCCTGCCTGCAGGTTATCGCAAATGTTTTAACATTTTTGCACTCTGGACACTTCCACATCGGCTACTTAAAAGAAACAAGGCACATTCCCAAATACTGACACAGCCCTCAAGTCCATCAGTCAATCCTCATATGTCAATTTGGACGTAGCTGTGAAGCCCTGTGTCACTTTAGAGACAGTAACTTCAGCCATCAATGTCGTGGAAGATGGAAAAAGTCGAGTTATGACTGTTTTTGAAATAAAAATATCTCAGTGTTTAACTCTAACACCACTATCGTCTCCGCCCTCACCTACAGGTTTTAGAGAAAGCGCCTTTGCGTACGCCATCGCAGCAGCAGGCGTGGTGCACGCTGTGGCCAACGCCTGCTCCATGGGTAAGCTGAAGGCATGCGGCTGCGATGAGAAGCGCCGCGGGGACGAGGAGGCCTTTCGCATCAAACTACACCGCTTGCAGCTGGAGGCCATCCACCGTGGGAAGGGTATGGTACACGGCGTCATGGAACACTTCCCCGCCGACCTGCCGGGACCCCAGGACTCCTGGGAGTGGGGCGGCTGCAGCCCTGATGTGGAATTCGGGGAGAAGTTCTCGCGTGACTTTCTGGATGCTCGTGAGACCAACAAAGACATCCATGCCCGAATGAGGCTGCACAATAATAGAGTTGGGAGACAGGTGAGTGTGAAGTTTGCATTTGAATGTTTTCCTTGGGATTCTTTCTTCAGGGCCCAGTGTCTACACTGGTATGTTCGGCCTGCAGGTTATCTAACAGCTGCGCGGATACATGCTCGGTTAATATTTAATATTATGCTTAATATTACACATCCAGTGGATTTTACTCAAAAGATGGAACCCCATGTTTTGCAAAAAACAGGGAGCTTGGGTGAAGATGTCTGAATGAAGAATTAGCATCTCCATCTACATTGTAACTTGAAGTCCCTTCCAAGTACTTCGTGACTAGCTTCTACTTTGAAACAAGTAATTTGCTCATTCAGATGCTGGGGAAGCAACTGTGGCATTGTCCAATCAAGAGTAATCATCGATGTTAATAGTAAGTTTCTCTAGCATCACAAGCAAGCATTACTTTGATCTGCATTCATGAAGAAATTTCCGTGCCTCAGTGAGCAGTACAGTTTATAGTGAGAGGGATGGATCCTGTAATCCTCTAGCTCAAATGATTATTACGCATTTAGTAATTTATTAGTATAACCAGTGAGTGAGAGAAAGAAAGTCGAACCACTTTGAGAACCATTAGCATTATCCTGTGAAAATATCCTGTGTTATAACTTCTGAACAGCTGGTGTTTGGGCTCCAGGTCTCTGTCGCTTCAGTTTCGATTTTTTAAATGGAAAACTATCAAAAAGACTGAATGATTTCCATTCATCACATACAGAATGTCGAGACAATGACCGTGACAGTGTTTTCTTTGCTCCTCCTCATTTGTGCACAAACATAAATCCATCATGCAAAATATAGTTTTAATGAAGTGCACCAGAGGCATAACACCCAACATGTTTGTAATATAACACACATATAACACACTTGAATTCCTCGTACCAACAAGTGCAGTTATTGCTTACATTTTAAATTGTCTAACTAAGTTGACTCTTTCCCTGTATGTTACTACAGACATATGGAAAGGATATATATAAGAGAAAACATATCATTTCACATCATTATGGGTTTGATGCTCACATAAGTAGATCTACTTTATTCAATTCAATTTAATCTCATTTATATTGAACCCAATCGTAAAACTATCAAAGCTTCTCGAGGCACTTTAAAAAACAAGTGTTACAAACATTGGCAAGCACTTGGTGTCAGTCGAGAGGAAACACTCTTTTAACAGATAAACGTTCATCATGTAAGTAGTAGTAGTTGTCACAGAGAAACAAGAGAAACAACACATGCACATATGTGTGTATATGTTCCTACACACCTTCCAGTGAAACCAGAGAATGGAGGCAAAAGAGGTAGACAGAGAACACACGGATAAGATGCAGGTTTGAGGTGAACACTAATAGACTTAATCAAACAACACGTATTAACAGTTTTGTCAGAGCAGCCAAATTCCATATTGTTAACTGTTGCCCTGAAGTCTCTTGTCTCTTTGGGTTATTTGATTTCCTAAAACTATTGGTGATGCTGGATAACCAGTATCATGATGCTGGTTCACCTGTCTATGGCACCCTACAACAAACATGCCTGAAAACACTTATCACGTGACCTCTCATGTACACTGGTCATGCACGTACCACACCATGGAAAGTGTCGCAGACTTCTCGAATAACTCTCGTATCCTACAAAATTTAAACAGTTGTATCATTGTAAAATACAGACTTTATCTGCACCGCAGCAAAGACTACAGGGTCTTATCCGTGTTGCGTTCTACATTGGTAGCCGAGACTGATACTGGTTGTTTTCCTCTGGAAGGGGGTCATGTGGTAGGTGCCTGATGAATCTGCTATGGCTACGTTGTGACTGAGAGGACCCAATCAGCAAGCAGTTATAAAGTGTGCATCACTGTTTCAAGAGATCTTTTTTACTGACCATCCAGACTGTTTTTTATCGGCTCTGAAGCTCTGGAGTACTGTGGACGCCAGGTGTGTCGAGCAGTTGATGTGTTTTTCAAACAAAAACATAGTCGCATGGATGCAGCCTGAGATCCCAAGGTCTGAGCGAGGATTTCGCTTCTGCCTCTGAAAGAGCTGCACTCATAGAGGCCTTGACCGGGTGTGTAGAGGGGAAATAAATGGGAGACACAGAACAGAGAGACCAGATAACACACACACACACAGACTAAGGGGGAGTTGAGGTTACTGTACAGTTCAGTTTACAGTCTCCCAGTGCACAGATAGGTATTTGTATCGGTGAAGGTGGCCACTGGGGGACTTTCCAGTCTGATTCTTCTCTTATGTCTAAGTGTTGCCTCGGGGATTACTTTAATACACACAGTATGTCTGGAGTAACTTTATACCTTCCACTTCATTCATATTTCACAGTGTGATGTTAAAATGTTATGGGTGAGTGTGTGAGTGATATTTTGAAAATATTAATTTTGGAAACTGAAAGGAAGCTTTGGCTCGGTGGATGTGGGGGCTTAAATGTTGTTTTTTAATTATTATCAGATTAATTTGGTTGGTGTCGGCATGTCTTCTTTCAGACACCATAAAAACTCACCCTCCCCTTCCACTACCTTTGTCATTCATTAACGATGACAGAAGAAACAACTAATTGGATATTAGCTGTATAGAGAAATAAAGTTCAGCACGATAATTAGCAGCAATCTCTTGATTCTGTATTAAAACATATTCATTCAACATAGTCCTGTGCTCATCCCAGATTGTATTCACTGTATATGTTGTGTTAATCTGTTATTATCTAGCACATTGAATATAATTTCCTTGTGTCTTCAGGGAAACTCTTTTACAGTGTCCATTCTTCAGAAGTACACTGTCAAATAAGTATTTCCTTGACAGATGAGGAAGTTGTCACTTTAGACGAACATTGTTTTGTTAAGATGCGCTGGCTGTGTTGGGTCAATTAGTGTCAGATGAGCCAGGATGTCAAACAGGGTGACGGCACACAGCAGCTTCAGAGAGCTACAGTATCATTGCACAACTATTATAATAAAACATATAGAGAATTGTATTTTACACGAAGGATGTTTATGTTACTAATGCCAGGCTAAAATACTCAATACTTAAATTTGACTATATTTTATAAACATTAGATATTTGTTTCTGTGTAGTCTAAACCTATTTTCACTCAAATATTTCCAATAGTATTTTGCCTCGGGCAAAGCAACAGAAAGATGCCAATGACGGTGATAAGCCATGACAATTTCCAGCTCTGTGGTGGAACAAAGGAGAAGCGACCGCAACTTTCTCATTGTTCTTCGTTTCCTCCTGAGTAATTGGGGCCTGTATCTCTCCATCAGTTTACTTCTGGTTTGCTTGATTATGCAGACAAAACACAAATGCGGAGTGCGTCAGATGAGCTCAACAGCAGCAGGCCTCCCTGCAGGAGCTGCACTGGTAGAACTGGTCACATTAATCCCAATCACTGATGTGGACGTGAGGAGTAAACTTTGGGTTGGAGCTGATATGACATCAGCAGTGATTAGTTCACGAGCCAAGGAAAATGAATAATTTGTCTCTTTTAGTGTGGATGGAGTTGGTATGATTATGAAACTTGATCACATACAGGATCACAGTGGGGCTTCATGTATGTTGTCTTTACTCTGTCAAAATCCTGAGGCCGCCTGCTCCCCAATAATTACAAATACACTCTAACATTCATAACATCCCAAATGTGATCCTGGTTTTTCTTCTCCCTGTCAGTGTGCCTATTTGCCGAAGTATATACAGTTGTAATGCCACTGGATCGGATCAGAAATCCCTCATCCTGTGAGTAAGTGTGGGTTGGAAAGTCTAAATCTAATTAATGGATTTTATATATAAAAATATTTGTAAGGAACTATAAATAGCTGTTAAAATGATGGTCATATATCATTCACTGTTTGTTGACTGACACAATGACACAGATACCAGTCATTTAGTCTGATATTTAAGTGACATTATTATACAGTAGGCATAACGTTTATAATATGACACAGGACATCTTATTAAATCATTTCAGAAGTCAGTTACCAATGTGACTCTTGGAACAAAAACAAAAAATCAGTATGCAAGGAGGTCAACCTTCAGAGACAGACACAAATCAAAGTTAATTAATATTGATATTAATTAAGTTTATACATTATAAACAAGCTTATGAAACCAAGCCAGCTACAGTTTTTTTGGCAGGTGAAGTGCCCCAGAGAAAATCTTTCAAAATCCGAACATGTAATCACGCCCTTCAGACTTTAAGAGGTACAGCAGTCACTCTAAGAAAACAAACTATAACTGGCACCACTCAGCTTCATTTTAATTTACAGTTTGATCTTTTGCAGAATGATATTTAGAAAGGCTAAATATTGGCTCTCAGATTCCTCACAATAAATTTTGCCTTCACTGTGCCAGGCGGCCTGTTTCCAGCCAAGCGAGCAGAGGCATCCATCAAACAACAGAAAGAAACTTTGACTCCGAGTCATCAACATCAAAGAGCCGATACCTTGTTCTTGGCAGAGTTGGTGGTTATAACCATCAGAGGCTAAACGACACCCAGTGATCCTGACCTTTACCTCTTGCATTTTGACTCAAGCCTGATGACCCCTGATGACCCTGGTAGGGTTCAAAGCCTCAGTCTTTGGCCTGCTTGCTTATCTGATACTGGTTATATGTCTCTGTTACAATGGAGGAAAAAACCTCTTCAAACACTCAGCGCTAATGGTGAGAGAGGTCCAATCCCCCGTGCTATTTTTAAATGACTAAATGAGCTTAATGGATATGCTTCATGGGGTTTAGGGCCATGAAATCAGGGGGCTGTGAGAGTGTCTCAGGGACATCTCACCACACGTTCGAGATCATCAGCTCGAACGAGTGTAACGTACAGAGCGATAGAGAAGAGATAGATGGAGAGAGAAAGAGAAGAGAGAGTGGCAAAGAAGGACAGAGAAAAAGGAGGAAGAGACCGAAAGCAAATTCACTATGAGTCATTGTAGAGTTGCTGTAAGATACCACGCACCTTGATGACTTCAAATAGTATAGACAGCCACAACAAAGCTCCTTTTG